CCGATAAACTATAGTTGACTTACCTGCTGATTTGATTTCCTCTACCAGTGAGTTACTAAATATTAATTTTCTTCTTACATTAATTTTAAACGCGATAATTAACTATTATTATGTCTTTGTAATAATGTAATGAAAAAGCTCTTTTACTTTGCCATAGTTCAAAACCACATGTCCATTTACAGATCATTTTGTTTCCATGCTACAGAATGATATTTTTCCTCTCTAAAAAATTCCTAATTCTATCCTCATGTTCTCATACGATGTAAAGCTCACTATAAAACATATTGTAAATTAGTTTCCATAAACAGAACTTCCAACCAATTAAAAGCATGCTAGGATTTCCTGAAGTCCTTCTCTTGACTGATATGTGTAAAATTGAATTAAACCATCAGCACCTCATTTGTGGTGACGCAATACACATTTACTGAATTAACACACTGTTTTAATTAATTACTATTGAAAATAAAAATTATAATAATAATCGTTAAAGACGGTACTCGACAACTATCAATCAACTGATTAAACTGGTTCCAACCCTTGGGCCAAACATCCTCCTTGAAATTCACCTGCAATCTACTTTGACCAGCGGCCAACCTTTGACCTCAATATTTCTTATTTATGGCGGATGTTACCTGATTAAGATAACTGTTAAATGGCATTCAACTTTATAGCGCATTACCCGTTATATTAACCTCGACATAATCACTTTGCAACCCATTTGATTTAACCATTAGGATTCCTCAGAATGCTGTCGACAGCGCGTCTTGACAGGAATTTCACGTGTGTTTACTGATGAGCATTAACTGAAATCCGAATATATGGTGATATCCCCATGTAGCATTTCATATCTATAAATGATAAATGGTTCAGTTTGTGCTTTAAATAAGTTGTCAATTATCTAGTCCAATATCCGTGCTAATGAACAGTGGTGACATCCTTTTGCAGACCGGTCCTAATTGAAATATATTTCTCCTGAGGATTTGAATTTGACGCGGATAATCATTACGTTAAACAAGGAACTCCTCGGGATAAGCAATGCAATGATTTCACGGATAGTTTAAAACTTAGTTAGTAAAAGTTATTAAAACTCAACATTGATGGAAATGTTTTATAATTTACGAAATATTCGGGAGTCATTTCTGATTAAGTTCCATAATATATCAGGCGTGGTGATCATGACAATGATAATTTTACAAAGTGAGTTAATTTTCAAGAGAAGATTTTTTTTTTCTGAGGATTTGCAAATCATCGATCTACCAGTATTATAATACAATGTAAGTTCGTGTAATGAGACTGTCGTTTATGATTTGAATAAGGAAATTAATAATAAACTGCTTGCATTTTAAATGCGTTGGTATCGATGGTAAATGCATTTTAAAAGCAGGTCTAAAACACCCTTTCCCATCGGAAAGAAAAAGAAGAAAACAAAGAAACCCCTCAATTTCTTATACCGTTATGGCCTCAAACTTCACTTTTTATTTTGTTTCTAGCACTCTTGACATATTTCTTTTTGTGGTACAATAAGATATTTATAGCAAGACAAACGTGTAATAATATCATATTGTGCAGTCACCCACAACTCTATACTACCAGTTTTGAGAACTTCAGTTGCCCATCTTGCATAGATATGTTATATTTTTGAACGCCCATGTTGCAAATACACGTCTCCGTGGGAATATCTATCAGTTTGTCGTAGAGTCAACGGTTCTAAATGAAACACGAACATTGTTCCCATATTGTAAAGCTTTAAACACGGAGTTTGAATAAGAACTGCTTTAGGTTTACACAACACTTTCTGTGTACTTAATAGTTTAGAGGTGTGCATCAAAACTGTGGATCTTATGATTAATCATTAATCATGCGCCATAAGCATGCCTGTTTTCATTATAGTAATGTAAGTTTGTGATGAGAGCAGGCGTTGATAAGTATTTTCTGATTATTAGATCCTGTCTTCAATATTGTAATTTAGCGTATGTTCAACTAAATATATCTACAATTATTTTTAGAATGTGTTCCATGAAAACCTCACGAGGCGGCTGTTTATCCCAATATCTTTATATGAGATAAATGATGTGTAAATCATCTATCCCATAACAGTTATAGGACGTAAATAATATCCCGAGTTTACTTCGATATTTCCGCTGGTGATGAATGTCCAGTTGCCTCGATTCTAGATGTGCGGCACGTACAGTTTTGTAGAGTGTATCTACAGAGAGTGGCCCACTGCTCCAGACTTACATCAGTTCCTTTATTTTTATCACGTTTTGCATTTAAGCACTGGGCCTACAACAGAACCATATTTGACATCACGTATTCACTGAACAGGACTGAGAGAAGGGCTTGATGTTTACTTCCTTCCTCTTGCTAACGAATAAACCTTGATAATAACCGACCTTTTGTGTTTTACGTCTTCACATATAAAATAACTGAGCGCTGTGCTGTTATGATTAGCTTACTTGCTTGAAGCGTCCGTAATCCGTCTTCCGGCGTCAATTTTTTTCCCTTTAACAGCTTCTTCTAATTAATCGAGAGGCCTATTATGGTAATGCTATTTGGCCCGTAGTGTGCTGAGTAAAATATCTTTAAAGTTTGTTCAAAATAATGGCATTGAAATACTCTTGAGGTTACAGGGTACATGTTAGCGTCTTCATATTAACCCTGTAGCATGCTGAGATGCAGACATATTAAGTTTGTTCAAATGAACGACTTGGCCGAGTTTCAAGGAAACATAGGTGTCAGATGTGTTAAACCATTCAAACAAAGGCTTCTAACTAACCGAGAGCCAATAGGCATGATGCTAGTTGACTGGAGTATGATAGGATACAACGTTTGTTCAAATGAATGGCCTTGACATTCACTCAATGCCATAAAGGTGACACGAATACAAATTCAAATTGAAGCGAAAGATAGTTAAACATCTTATATCAGTTGAGTGCAATTTTGATTACACTTTTAACAAGTTCCAAACGGCCAATACCAAGAACTTACAAGAAACCTTGAGATCAGATGCCGAGACCATGTGGTGAAAAGCCAGTCAAATTGTTAGCCAACTATTGGCGGTTTACCGCTGTTTTGGTGTAATTTCTTAAGCAATTGCACAAGAGCAATGACAAAATCTTTTTTATGTAAAGCTTTTATATTGCAGTAAATCTATGTTTTCTTTGAGTCATGGATCAAATACGTGTAAATGTATCAAAACATAACGGAGTTAACAGTGCATTCTTATCTCGGGTATTTACATAGGGATCATATTAAACCGTTCGGAAGTCTACAAATGGTGGCCGTATCTGATATGCAATGATAAAGGCGGGGACTCCCGCTGATATTGAGGAGAGATGTTCAACTCAAACAGTCTCAATTTATGTTCTCCCATTTTCAGACACATTAATCTTGCAGTAGGGAGAAATTCCGGCACATCACTGTCCGGGAATTATATAAATAAGTTGGGAAACCGCCTGATAGTGGAAGGATGGGAACAGGGTGAGAGTTCACGCTTGTTAAACAAGAAATTATCTCTTTAACATAAAATATAACCCACAGGGCATTTGATTTAAAGATTTGTGTTCAGCAATTAAGAACAGTGAATAGACAAGATAACAGTTTGTGTGTACCCTTTCAAAGGTGGAAGTGGTCAGAGACCTAATATTCGTGGTTATACGAATTTGAGAATTGACCAACGTAAAACCTGTGGGCTTTAATGTTTCACGGATGTATCTTACTAAAGTAACAATATACACATCCATGTGTAAGTGTGTGTAAGAATACAGCTACAAATGTTACAAAACGCTAAACAAGCTTAGTCTCCAAGGCCAGTCTTCTCTCAGAGTGCTGGCAACCTTCACAGCCGTAACATTTCTTTAGAGATAGATTTGAGATACTGCTTACGTAACTACAAGTACCTGCCAAACATTTATGCAGGGACAAAAGGGCGTTCAGAAACATGACGGACAACAAACTATTGTCTGTTGTGTAGAGTTCCCTTGAATCAACTAGTGCATACAACTATACAGAGTGTGTTCACGTAGGCAGCACGTGGGGGGTATATGAAGTTTCAGATTTACCCCGAGTTAAAAATTAGATTTATGCATAATAAAGAATAAGCAATACAGCTTTAAGTATCACACGATGTCAGAGAGCTTTAAGTAACGTACAGTATTGTTAATACAGCTCCACGTATACGATAAGAGTTATCAATGAAACTTCAAAGTTGATAATAATGAATTTCACCGTACCATTAACTGTTTCGTCCTTCTGAGACTCGTCAGTAAAGCTAGGGTCCACTGAGGAAGCATCCGCTCAAGAGTCAAGGTTAAATGCGACAACAATCAACTAATAAAACTTTGAATCGATCATATAACCCATTATCCTGGTCTATAGTCGAAGGTGTCCAGATACATAACACTGAAAAGAATGGGTGAATGGCAGCGAAAAGGAAAAAGAATTGGTAACAGTTCGATTGAAAAGGGAAAAATATATTACAGTTCAGTTGAAAAGGGGAAAATTGGTAACAGTTAAATTCTGGTCTAGTATAATCTCGATTACAGGGCAAATTTAAAAATCCCAACAATGCAAAATACCATACAATTGAAATTCTTCATAATATTATAAAGACTGCTACCTAACTGCGGAGTATAACTTCGTGTATCGCACAGTTGGTAACATCATTACATGACTGTATAGTGCGGTATTGTTTTTTACATTATTTGCATATGATTAAAAACATTGATACACAGATACTGTACGTCCTGATTTAGTACCTTTTTGTTATTGTTTGTTTGTTGTTGTTGTTGTTGTTGTTTGTTTGTTGTTGTTGTTGTTGTTTGTTTGTTGTTGTTGTTGTTGTTGTTGTTGTTGTTGTTATTTGTTGTTGTTTTTCTTGAGAGGTTTATAATGTTTTCCCTTTTGTTTTGGTGTGTCCTCTATCCCTGTTGATGTGTGGATGTTTATCGTGTAACGTGATATGACTGATCTTACATATGTAATATTTACCTCCATTGTAGCACTAACCGTGAAGTACATAACCCGACGGTTCATCATGGAGTATGACCCTAACATTGGTGAGTATAGTTATAGTCTCGTTAAGGTAAAGGATACCAACAAGCAAGCCTACATTATTACCATTGTCGCTATAAGGAACTATTTGTTTAGGTTCTTTTTAAAAGAAATATTCCATGAAAACCACGTGTTTCGATGCATTGTATGTGTTCTACAAAGGAGGGAGAAAACTCCAGGTCAAAAACAGCTTCGAGTGGAACTCTTTTCCGTGAAACATTACTGATGCAGTGGTGCTCTTTACCTTGAGACGAATTCGCTCTTTAGCGTTTATTCTGAATGTGGCAATGAAATTATAAATTGAGCGAATAATAGTTTTAAATCATAGCTAAGAACACAAGAAAATCGTCGAATCTTGAATGGTCTTTAATGACCTTTATTTATGTTATTGTCAAGCGTAATCAAACAATATTGGATACACTAATATCGTATCTACTGGTAAGAAACCAAGTAACGTCGCGTTCTAGTGTTTTAAATGTTTTTTCTGTCCTGGTTAAAAAAAAATCGCCAATTGCATTTTCTTGTAACTAAACCCACGCATCTGCTACAATCAAACAAATCTATAACCGAACATTTACCATAGAAATGTTTGTTTTCTTTTTCCTCTATTTCATTTTAAAATGTCTTTTATGATTTTCGACTTCGTTTTGGTTAACGTCATTGATGTTGCAGAGGACACGTACACAAAGCACGAAGACATTGATGGAACAGAAATGTGTATTCACGTCATGGATACCTACGATAAGGTGAGTAAACACGTCATATCCGGTCTGCAACATATATTGTACTAGACATACAACAGTAACTACAATAGTTGAAATGCCCCTCAACTTACAAGAATAACTAATTCGTTAAAAATTCAAGTGAGCTATTATACGGCGAAAACCTCCAACATGTTAATATTTCATCTTATTTTATCTCGTCGTAATATCAAAACATACGTACCACTATCGACTCGTCTATCATCGGTCAAGGCAATATTACCATTACCCAGTCGATTAGAGGCCCCGACTTGTTATATACGAACCTAGATTCTGATCACAAAATGGTTGACACGGCCTCTGAAACATTTTTGGTTTTGTTCCCATGAAACTTATGATTGTAATATATTTATTAATAAATACTGGCAAGGTTACAGCAACTGCTGACGTCACAATGTCATCTCATATAGGAGGGCCATATTTACGATGTTTCCGACAACTCCAAGGCTGTTTAGGATAAATTTGAACTACGTACCTCTGTGTCTACTGTATAAATATACTAGAAGTGTGAACAGCGCAATAGTTGAAGCTAGCTATATCAATATGATAGACACATTTAGAAGGTATAATTGTCTTTGTCCGTTGAGAACGAAAAGACTTTTATGGAGTTGCATCGTCTAATATCAGTTATCGATAATTCCACTCTTTAAAATAATTCATATTTCACGAAATGTATATCTTTCCTTGAACTCTCAAGAGCATTTTTCTGGCATATTTTCATTCGCAGTGGATGCTATACACAGCCATTTTATTTTGGGAAACAACGTAATATGCAGTATCTCAATCATATTGAATATTGGGGAGAAGACAATAACAGCTGGAAAAATACCAAGAGTTTCTTTTGTTACATTCCATGAACCATTGTGTTGTTTATTGTACTTCTAGGAGGACAGCGACCCCTTGCGGTATCTACGATGGGCAGACGGCTTTATGGTGGTGTACGGGATCACAAGTAGACAAAGTTTTGATAAAGCGCGTGAATATTTAGAGAGTGTCACACAATACCTCAAAGCCAACTCGAAAGATTCTCCTGTGGCTCTGGTCGGAAACAAAATAGACCTCGAACGATATCGGTAGGTATCATTTACACCACAGGGGTATGAGAACTGGTTACATCTATATTTATATTTGGACCTAAACTAAGGTGTTCAGAGTAATTCTACATGTTTTAGGGTTTAGATCGAATTTCGGTAAAAATGCCCCCCCCCCCCCCCAATCAGTTTTATATACAATCATTGAGGGTATTATTTTTACCGCAAGTCGATCTTAACCCCTAAAACATGTAAAATTACTTCAAATATAGATGTAACGAATGATCATGTCCCTGTGATATACACCAATATCAATAAGAGATCTACATAAATACGATAGTGTCAAGTTTGAAAGACAACGAAGGGGACCTGAAAAGCGTTTTAGTTCGTTTACAAAATTGTTCTCAGGAAAAATATAAATTTCTGTTTCGTTGGAAGGTTGGCATTTTCCTATTTCTTTTAAGAAATAATTTTCGTATATTTTAAGCGATGTGATCATAGAAAGCCCTGCATCGTTGCATCGTTAAGGAGGAATTACAGTCGGCTTTATATATTCAATACACATTTGATCGATTTCAAATTTAAGCATGGAAACCAGCATTCTATGTAGAAACGATAAATGTTATTAATGTTACTTGTCTTATATTGAAATGTGCAAACGCAACCCTAAATGTGATAAGTTTACGTCTTCACACAGTTCACCGTGTCATCAAGCCATGTCTTGAAACCGATGGGTCAAAAGACCCAAGGTAATAAAGAACTTGAACTTGAATGTAACACTGCATGTGATGATATTACGTATACGTTGAGAAAAATAACTTCCTTGTCATCAGGTGATGCAGTGTAATTGATCCGGATAGTAATTAAGAGCTGAAATCAATGTTTCAAAATTGAATAAAGTCCATAACAGGTTATCTTTTAAAATTGAATAGAATTATATTTCTATTCTTAAATGAGGTAGAATTAGATGGCACCAACAGTACGCCAAGTCCGTAGCGTCCGGTTAATATGTTACAAATATGATGAAAATACCGATAGGAAAATTTGTCCAATATTATTAATATGATGAATGTGTTTTGGTGAAGCACGCGCAATAGTCATGTCTTTGCATATATAACACCATGTTGAGACATAAATACTTATGTATATAATTTTAATGGAAAACACGAAAACAATTTGTATCAAAGTAAGGATTAAATGTATTATCCCACATGCTGAAACGCTTTTGGTTATCGCGAAAACAACATAAAATCTGTTGGCAATATTTAGTTTAAACTTTATTTCATTATCGGTATAATATTCCAGATATACAAACATGATATACATATAGGATTCGAAAAAAACAAATACAAAGTTCTAATGTTAATCCGTCTCCTTTTTTGTGAAACGGCGATTGGACATATTTGAAAAGGCTACACGTTCCTGAAGTGACAGAAAATAGGTGACTTAAATGACATTGCTGTGGGCCTTTTTATCATGACACGTCACAATCAAACCACTATGATAATTTTCTCATGTAAATTGCTAAGATATGATTATATTGCCATAGTATTATTGTAATTCTCATATAATATGGAAAGCTTACCACGTATTATTTTCAGCTTATGTGAAAACTATGAAACAAAAATCATTTTGAATTCTATGTGATCTAATCGAATACAACGTCGTTTGATGCGCCATTCACAGTCAACTTAGGATAATTTTTTTTTATAATATTGAACATGCTATAAATAGAATCTCTCTGGCATCTTGATGAGTACTTTAAACAATTTTACACAAATATTATTAATAAAAGTTATCACCACTTTGATACAACTGATGAACATCACGGGTAATGTATTCATCGAGATTCGGCAAACATACACTTTAGATCAGTCTGTTACATGTAATCCATTGCTTTCGTACTTGCTATATCGCACTTGTATTTCTATGGCAATTTAATGGTTATGTTGAGGATGTGGAAACTATCTATGCGAATTCGTTTTAATGTAATATCATATTAGAACTAATATGTTTTATCAATAATATAACATAAAGGCAAAACGAAAAAGTACTTTCTGAATATAGAAATTGACACGTTTCGTCTAAATTCAATAAAAAAATATAACTTTGGACGTTTCATAACATTTGAAAGAAGTATAAATGATACACCCAAATACAACAACATTAATTTCAATTGTGAATGTGTTGAGGAATTTTAATGTCAAAATATACATCTAAACCTTTCGTCAATGAAAATTGCAATGTTGCTTTTTTTTTTTATATTCACGAGAATTAAAGACTATTTGGTATTCCAACTTTTTGCATTAGCATAGTAATGCTGCATAAATTTGTTTCCTCTTTATAATACACTTTGTTTTAAAATGCTAACTTACTTTTAAAAATTATCATAAAACAATACAATCTTTTAAGTTCGAATTTTGATATCAAACATTCTTTAGGGTCAGATGGCAATGTGATTTTTTGACATATTGAGATTTTATTATGTTTTAGCTGAATACGTTTTTGTTTTCGCGAGACATAATTGATTTATAAACATTTAACTTAGATTCTAGTCTGAGACGACTGTTTTATTATCATGTCGCCAGCTGTGGTACGTCAGCCAGACTATTGCCCTAGTTGTGGTAGTTGCCTAGAAGTATTCGAGAAGATAAATTGTCAAAAACCCGTACATAATTCTGCGCTTTATTTGTTTATATCTATTATATTTGATTGCTGAAGACTGTACCGTTCTAGAGGATAGGTTTTAATGCGTTGAAACAGCTGTGCATATAGTCTGTATGTGGTAGGTCGACCCTGCCCAAACTAACCCAGGAAGCTGCTTCGCTCCCTCTATAAGATGACATTTATATGGCTTTATCAAAACATTTGTTTCTGAGTTGTTTGACATAGCAAGGTCAGTGTACTTTTATATTATTGTTGAGTCACAGCTGCCTGGTACGTAAGGAGGGTACCGACAGCCCGGCTAGAACAGATGTCTTCGGGTTTCTTTTTCCTTTTTGTTGCTTATGCCCAATCCCTCCAAAGAGACAGCTTCTATAAAAAGTGACTTTTGCCCTGCTGGTTTTCATTAGTTGATAGTGTTTAGTTCCGATCTGACGTATTCATACAATTTTCTCTTCCTCGGAACTGCATTTAATCGAATATTCTCTAATTAACCGCAATTATTTTTTCGTTTTCTTTTGAATAGGCAAATAAGCAAAGTAGAAGGGAACACACTTGCACAAGAGTTTGAGAGTTTGTTTTTCGAGACAACGGCAGCTGAGGAATTTGAATACGTAGAAGATGTTTTCCATGGGATCATTCATGAAATACAGCGTGAAAAGGGAGACCGCCACGTGAACTTTCAACCTTTGTTCATTTCTGAAGAAAAATTCCATGCCGCCCAGAGGCGACCAAAATCACCTCGAGCTGGACCTGACAAAAAGGAGGACAAGGGACCTACCAAGAAAAACAGCTCTAGCTTCAAACTTTTCAACAAAAGCTTTAAAATATTTAATTAAATTAATCTGTAGCTTAGTGGATTATGTGGAACATTCAGAGACACTACTGTTATGGGGTGTCTGAAACCTGTGATAAGTTTCATTAAATTATTGCGTGTACAATTATAATAACTGTTTAATTTATTTCTCGTATGTTTTTATGTCACAGACAGGCAACATACCAGCTTATTCTGTCCAGAACCTAGCGGGCTTCGTTCAGGACATGACGAGTTGTTCCGTTTCCAGCAGACAATGTTTTGTTCGTAATTATGTTTTCTAAATTCATATTTAGTCTTGATTGGTTGAGCAGTGCAGCGCTATTTCCCTATTCTGATGGTATTGCAATAATTGTTCATCAATAAAATGAAATGACCAGTGTTCATCAAGTGGCGATGTTTTGTTGATGTACAGAAAATAGTACTGTGTTAATTAAATAGTGAATGTGTTGCACATTCTTTGTTTAATGAAATATCTTAATGAACCAGCCAGAATAGTGCAGCCTGAGCAACGGTCTTAAACTGTGTAGGATTCTGTAAAATTGTTCATATATCGGTAATCACGGTTCGTTACATGGGATTGCAATATAGACGTCCATTGATTGGTTAGCCATGATTACAATCTTGTCATTCATACATTGGTAGTCAGGGTTACACAGAATTTTATAACTAATCGTTTATTTATTGGCGGATTTCAATCTAGTCGTCTATTAATTTGAGGCCAAGATGACATCGGATTTTCATCTTCCTTAATTGGTTGCCAGGTTACGTAAGATTTCAATATATGTAAGCGTTCATTAATTGGTAGCCATGGTTACATAGATTTCAATCTAGAGGCGGCATTCACAAGTTGGAAGCCAGTGTTACGTTCGAGTAATTAATAATTAGTAGCCAAGATAAGATCGAATTTTTAATATTTGCCTTCAGTAATTGACAGCCAGCTTACGTAAGATGTTAATGTACATACATGACCCGATAGGTAGGATTACATTGGATTTGAATCCAGTAATTTGGTAATTGGTCGCTAGATTGCCGAGGATTTCTATCCAGTTGGTCTATTTATTGTCAGATTTCAGTGTTCAATGAATCTAGTCATTCATAAATTGGTTTTCAGGGTAACTATGACGATGAATTTAGTATTGCACATGAATTCTTTATTGTTGTGCTTCCTTTGTATGTCTATGTATGAGCGATGAACCATATTCCGATTTCGTCACATGGTTTCAGCCAAGATCACTGCAGAAATGGACAAGTTATCGCCCCTGTCCCATACATTTTACGATCACTTTACCGAGTACATCCACCGACGTTTATTACTTCCTATGCATGTATAACCAGTCCCTAATTAAAATTGGTTCTTCATTTCCTCCCTATACTGATGTATCATATATACAGAGCACTGCAGATCCAATTTTAATTAGATTGATTTTTGTTTACTTCTTCAATTCAAAACATTTACATTCTAGAATCATATGAAGCTTCCATGCATTTAGTCCATGGAAATATTAATAGGAATATCATCTAATTCAAATTACCTGTTTGTCCTAATACATATTGTATGGGAGGGTCTTCGTTTTCAGGAACAATAAAATATTACATCGGAACATGGCTTTCTTTATTTTACATCCAAGCAGAGTACAGTACAACACTAATGTAAGAATTATTTCAGAAAACCGGATCTAGCATCTTCCTAACACTACGGTCGAATCCTGCAAAATTGCGAAGGTTTAGTAGACCAGGGACGTATAATGCATTAAACTGTCCCCGAGTAGACCGAATGCTGGACTATATGGTAAAATACTATTTTTGGGTGTTAATATGCTATTTTTGGGTGTTAATATGCAAGCAGTTCGTATTTGAAAACCAAATTTAGATGACAATAACAAGAACAGGGCTTCGAGATGGTTATATCTTGACAATCACATTATCATCGCAAGATATACACCTGGATACTTATTAACTGTCTATGTAACTAAAAACATGGCATTAAACTTGCTGTAAAGCCAATATTTGCTGTTTATATTGCCGACTACATTTAACATCTTTTTTTTTTTTAATATCAATTTTGCAATTTTGAGACATTTTGTCTATAATGATCAGATTTTGACCAATCTTTAGTTTAAGACAGATGAAGTTTCAATTTATCAATTAAGTCTGCACAAATAGGGAGCACTTGTGTGTGTTATCCATGGTTCATGCTGGTGATATTAATAACATCAGGACAAACTATCATGCTTTCAATTTTGATAATTTTGAAAACGTATAGAGTATTTAAGCAAATTTAACTGCTTTCTCTTTGTCCTTCTACAGTAAAGTAACAAAAGACAACAGATTTTTTTTTAAGATACACATCAGACATTTATTGATCCATTAACCAGTAAATATTACTGGCATATTGAGTATGCAATACAAGTGCCTATAATAGGTACACAACACTCGTTCACAACTGGTATGTCTCACAAAATACATTTGACTACATGTGGCGGGGTACCAGAGCTATACGGCTTCGTGCAACTGCATCATAATGTGTGGGGTCTCTTCGTAAAATGTCCATTCCAGACACAGCACAACTTTACATTTGTAGCAAAATAATAATAACAGTGATAATTTGTACAGAACCATTATGTATAAACCAGCTATCCTACTCAAGGGACTGTCTGAACACCAGCATTACCCATTCAGCATGGACACAGCTTGTAATACTGACAAAATGACACACTCGCATTTAGTTAACTGTTAAACCTGACAGTCTACTATAAACAATCTAGATGAGGCAATGCGACTATGTACATCAATGTTGGAAACGATTAATCTTGATTTACCTGCACACCACGAGAACAAAGATAAAATATGGATACAGTGATCTGGTATGGAGAAAGCCAGCAGCTTCAGGTAGTCGGATGTCTTTTATACATGAATGATTTAAATGTGGTCATCAAAAATTAGATTCTTCAACCTTTGAAGCTAACTTCGGTATGAAATTCAGTATAAACCAGGATATGGAATTCAAACTGAATACTGAAAAAGAACGTTATATGCCTTGTATTGATTTTAATCGGAAATCAAGATATATTTTAATCCAGGTTATGGAACACTATAAAGGCCTATGTTTTGATTTGCATAATGTTTTTTCTTTAAGAAACAGAAAGTAAGAGATATTACTTCAACTCTAAATACAATTATAGCTCTAATGTGAAGGTTTAAACACAATATTTAAGATAAAAATATGACAAAGATAACAGAAAAAATATTAAAAACAATATCACAACATCAAGAGACATTTCATGTTGAAAAGATGTAAGCTATTCTGAGGAGTCTTCTTACAGAAATAGCTAATACAAATGCATTTTTACAAAATGGCTGAAACAAAGACAAGTTTCCTAAAATGTAACTTGGACTAAAGTGTGTGATGGGTTACATTGATTGGAAGTAGCCATCCTCAAGTATATTGTTCTTGAACGTGGTGTTTGTAAATTTGAAGATTTTTTCCCCACTCTCCCTCCAACTGATAGAATTTCATGTATTTCTCCCTCAATCTGATACAACTTTACAGAATCTTCATCCAAAATTTCCACACAAACTCTAACATCATTGAGCAATGTACATCCAATAAACAAATGGTTCCCACATCAAATGCTGTTCTAGTCATATTTCTTTAAGAAGTTTAAGTCAGATTTTCTCTCCTCTAGCATAATGACAATTTTTTATTGCTTTCCATCGGCTGTTTCCATAACTTGATCTTCATCCTTTTTGTCTTTCTTCTCTCCGACTGTTTCAAAGAGAAATAACAGATTTCAAATACATTTTTTTTTTTTTTTTTTTACAGAAGTGTCTGCAATCAACAAATGGCGAACAATATAAAGTTTAAACAAATGAAAGTATGGTGGAAGAAGTATGAATTATTCCTGTTTGATGGAGACAAGGGTGATAGCAAACAGTCATAGAATTATCCATGATAGGCAAATTATTTCCCAAGGCTGAAGGCGGAATTTGTCTCATGAACTATTAAAGAATTTCTTGAAACACCCTTATTTAACATCTTGGTAAGAACCTTTTATACGGCTTACCTTCATCCCCTTCTCCTGTAGAACTATCCATCCTCCTTCGCTTGCGAGGGTTCATCCTTTGTCGTTGGAATTTGGGTGCTGGCAACTGGTCCATACCCAAAACCTTATGGATTTGCCGGAATGCTATCAGCCGCAGAGCATGCTGTGGAACAAATAACAAGGGAAATGTATTTTATATTAAAACAACATGCCGCAAAACAAGCTGGAACATTTCACTTCTAGTCCTAATTTACTTCCAACACACATATATATATATTCATATATAAATACAGTCAAGAAGTATTTAACTGCTAGATACATGACTGAACACAAGATCTGGTGACCTATCTAAACTGACCAAATTTGTAATGACAATATTCGTTGACCTACCTGATCCGACTTTATGACACTTACAACACATGGTGAGTAACCTGACAAAACGACAAAGGATAATATTGGGTAACTAACCTGAGCTGAAGCTGTGATGTCCTCTCGTTCCTGGGGGGAAAGTGATGCTGCAGCATCAGCTGGGTCCTTTTCACAGGGATCGTACAACCCTGGTCCTCCTGTAACAAAAAAGTTCAAAATTTTCTGATTCTCCATCAAATTTATACAGATTTTTCTGATAAGCCTCAATTGAACATTTCATATTCATCTTTGTGGGTTTAAAGGCAACATCAAATTCAGTAACAACAAGCATAGTAAGTATTGCTAAAGCAATACATGTCCTCTACCGGACCTCTCTAGCTATTACACTATAATGATTTATATAAATGGTGTCCTTTGGTGTTAATTTGGGAAAATGAAAAGTATACAATTTTCTAAAAATAGTAACAGTGACCTTGACCTTGACCCGACAACCCTGAAACTCGAACTTGTTCGAGATATTATGGTCCTTTGTGGTTGTATTAAGTTTGATCAAAATCCCTCAAGGAATGAAGCCACTAGAGCGCTGACAAGGATTTTCTAAACAAGAGGCCCAGAGGGCCTGTATCGCTCACCTGAATATGTTTAAAATAATTGGCATGAAGTAGGTGCTGTAAGTACATATGAAATTTCAGAAAGATCCATCCAGTTCTTGAGATATAGTGAGAACAAACTTCAAACAGATCCCCACCCCTATGCAACCTAGGGGGGTCATACCCACCAATTATACAAAATTGAGTCACCTTGACCCAAGGATGCTCCAGACTAAATAAGGATAAAATCCCATAATCCCGATGGTCGAAGAAGGATTTTAAAGGTTTTACCTCTATTTCTCCTATTGGGCCCCGCCCTTCTGCCCCTTGGGAGACCACACCCACTGCTAATACAAAATTGAGTCACATTGGCCCATTGATGCTCCAGACTGAATTAGGATAAAATCCCTTAATCTTTATGGTAGAAGAAGGATTTTAAAGGTTTTACCTCTATTTCCCCTATTGGGCCCCGCCTCTCTGCCTCCAGAGGGGTCAAACACACCGTTTATACATAATTGAGTCCCTTTTGCCTAAGGATGCTCCAGACCCACCGTTTATACAAAATTGGTTCTCCTTTACCCAAGGATGCTCCACACCAAATATGGACCAAATCCTTTCATTCCTACAGACGATAATTTTAAAGAATAATTTGCTATGTTTCCCCTATTGGGCCCCGCCTCTCAGGCCCCTGGGGGGCCAGACCCACAGTTTATACATAATTGGTCCCCCTTCACCCAAGGATGCTTCAGAACAAATATGGAACAAATCTTTTTATTCCTACAGAAGAAAAAGGATTTTAAAGAATTTGCTATATTTCCCCAATTGGGCCCCACCCCTCAGCCCCCAGACCCACCGTTTATACAAAATTGGTTCCCCTTTACCCAAGGATGCTCCACACCAAATATGGACCAAATCCTTTCATTCCTACAGAAGAAGAAGGATTTTAAAGAATTTGTTATATTTCCCGTTTGGCCCCGCCCCTCAGGCCCCTGGGGGGCCACACCAATGGTTTATACAAAATTGGTTCCCCTTCTCCCAAGGATGCTTCAGACCAAATATGGAACAAATCCTTTCATTCCTACAGAAGAAGGATTTTAAAGAATTTGTTATATTTCCCCTGTTTGGCCCCGCCCCTCAGCCCCCAGGGAGGGCCAGAGCTTCGGTTTATACAAAATTGGTTCCCCTTCACCCAAGAATGCTTCAGACCAAATATGGAACAAATCCTTTCATTCCTACAGAAGAAGAAGGATTTTAAAGAATTTGCTATATTTCCCCAATTGGGCCCCACCCTTCAGTCCCCAGGGGGGGCCAGACCCACCATTTATACAACATTTGTTCCCCTTCCCCCAAGGATGTTTTTGACCAAATTTGGTTATAATCTGCTCAGACAGTCATGACAAGTAGCGTTTTAAAGGAAAAGTTGACGGACGGACGACGGAGCGGTATGGCATAAGCTCACCATGGTCCTTAAGGATTGAAAACATTGACCTCAAATTCCTCTATTTTTCACTATCTCTCTGCCCCCAGGGTGGGGGGACATCGTCTGTTGATACAAAATTGAGTCCACATTACTGCAGGATGCTCCAGGCCAAATTTTGTCAAAATCCATTGAGATGATCAGGACATTATGCTGTTCAGGACAAGTAGCAATTCAAAGATAAAAAGTTGATGGACAAAAGTCGCTATGCCACAGCATAAGCTCAATGCTTCTTTGGACAAGTTGAGCTAATCAATATATATCTGGTGTCCCATACAGTTTGACCAAACATTGTGACAGTCACATGTTTGTTTCAGTTGCATGGCTATTTATGTCCCTGATTATACAAAACTGATGACATGGTCAGGTCAACAATTTTGTCAAACTCAGGTAATGATGATTTAATTTTCATTTCAATCACCACAAACAACATCACACAATCTAGAAACCATATCTCCTACATCATCAGACAATCTAGACACTATGTCTGACAACATAACACAATCTAGATATACCTCCTACAACATCACACAATCTAGATACCACACCTCCTACAACATCACACATCTAGATACCACACCTCCTACAACATCACACAATCTAGATACCACACCTACAACATCACACAAACAAGATACCACACCTCCTACAACATCACACAGTCTAGAAACCGTACCTCCTACATGATCACACAATATAGATGCCATACTTACTACAACATCACATTATCTAGAATGCTAATTTAACAATAGGCCCTGAGGGCTTGCAATTGGTTCATTTCTGAATAATTAAGCAACTATCTGAAAATTTTCACAATGACTCCCGATGGGGACCTGCCTGTCTGCACAAAGGTCCCGGGAGCACACACTCTGTTTATACAAAATTAAGTCCCTACACTCTTGCAAATAATACTCTATACCAAATTTGGTTTAAATCCCTCCAATGTTACTGAAGGAAAAGGATTAAAAACATTGACCTCTAATTCCTCTATTTTTCACTATCTCTCTGCCCCCAGTGATACAAAATTGAGTCCACATTACCGCAGGATGCTCCAGGCCAAATTTTGTCAAAATCCACTGAGCTGATCAGGACATTATGCTGTTCAGGACAAGTAACAATTCAAAGATAACAAGAGGCTGTATCGCTCACCTGAATATAATTAAAGTAATTGGTATGAAGCAAAGATATAGCACTCCATGGTAGGTGCTGTTAGTACATATGAAATTTCAAAAAGATCCATCCAGTACTTGAGATATAGAGAACAAACTTCAAACAGAGCCCCACCCCTATGCCCCTACGGGGGTCATACCCACCAATTATACAAAATTGAGTCACTGTCACCCAGGGAGGCTACACACTAAATAAGGATAAAATCCCT